CTTTACCGTAACTCCGCTGAACCTGATTGGCACCTTCCGGAAGGATTTAGTGCATTGCAGCCTCTCACCATTGGCTACTCGTACCTCAAAAGGTTCGATATTCGTGGTTGGTAAGTTCAGCTTCTGGGACAAGTCGGCATTGATGAAGTTGTGTGATGACCCGTTGTCTACTAGCACCACCACCTTCCGATCCTTGACCCAGGCCGGCAATCGCATCGTTCGAGGCCCTCGTATCCCAGCCATCGCGTGCATTGAGATTTCTGCTTCTTCGTCAGGCCCCTCAACTACGATATCATGATGTGGTTCCTCCTCGTCCTCAGATCCTTCCTCATTAGGATTAGCAACTTCGATCACAAAGGCTTGCTTACACTGATGACCTGGTGTAAACTTCTCCTCACACTTGAAACATAAGCCTTTCTCACGTCGACGTTTAACTTCCTCGGGAGACAGCCGCCTCACTATCGACCCCACTGGCTGATTGTTGACGATCGGCCGTGCGCCGGCCGTGGCTTGGTTCGGCCCCGTGCGTCGCGTGTCGGCGTACCGCACATCCGTCCGTCCCCTTCGCGTAGCGACTAGATGGTCTTCTCGTCAGCGGGCCACCTCCATGGAGTTATGCATCGTGTCCGGCCGCTCCAGTCGGACTTCTTCGGCTAGATCGAATCTCAGTCCAGCTACGAAGGCTCCTACTAGCACATCTTCAGACCAATCTCGCACGCGACAGGCTAGTCGTTCAAACTCCTTGATGTATTCACGCAAATTGCCTGTCTGTCGGATTCGTGCGAGAGCCTCATTATAATTATGGTAATCGGGCGTGCCAAATCGAGTAAGCAATTCTCTCCCAAAATCAGCCCATGTAATGACCTGTTGCCGCCTACGGTAGATCCGGGAAAGCCACTGCCACCATACGTTGGCCTCACCATCTAAGTAGAATGCTGTGTACCTTACACCATCGTGGCTGTCGGTTTCATTCAGTTCGAAATATTGCGCGATTCGGTTGAGCCAAGCCTCCGGATCACTACCCGTGAAGATGGACATTACGAACCTCGACTTGTCGGGCTTAGGCCGCTCACGGTAGGTGGACGCTTGCGACCGCTGATCGAAATCCTCCTCGTGTTCGTAACGCTCGCGTCGTCGACCCTCCTTCTATTCGTGTGCGCGCCGTTGCTCGCGTCGATCCTCGCGCCATGGGGATGGTGTGTGATCAGCGTACTCGTCGTGCCGGCGGGGTTCGCGCCTTGGGGGATCGTCGCGGTGAGGTGGTTGCTGCTGGAGTGCACGCAAAACTTCCTCTAATCGCTGTTCGAGTCGTGTGACAACGGCGTTGGTATTGTTTTGACTTTCGTCAAGCGATCCAAGCCTTCCTTCCATAACCTCGCTCATACTCCGCATCTGGATGTAAAGATTATCGATCTTATCCTTCATCTCCTTGTTGGCCATGGCTTTTCTTTCTTCTCTCCGTTCTTGGCTTTGTGGACTCGTGGTTGGGACGATGATGGTGATGATGAACGAAAGTTTTTTTTCTTTTTTTTTGATAGGGGGACGAAAAACGAAAAGAAAAAGAAAGGGAATGGGGTAGAAGAAGAACACACGATCAACATCTCTCAATGAAAGCACCAATGATGAGGATCGTGTGTTTCGACTACCGATAAGCCGCTAACCCGCACCTTGAATCGCCGATAGTGTTCTTCGAGCCACAACCGCGCCTCTTGGAACGAATAAAATTGCAATAGTATTCTGGTGAAAAGACTAAAGCAAAGTTGGAAGCACAAAGTTCTAGATTTCTATTGATGTCTTGAATGATGAAAATTAACATGGGGTAAGGGCCTTTATATAGGCACAAAATTATATCTAAGTCTAATCTACCTAGGGATCAAATAAAGCAATAAAATATTAAGTATCCTAAACAATCTAGATCTCATAATGTAAGATGGAAACAACTTGGCTTGCACTCCACTCAAACCCTCTCTCTTCGGCCCTTTGCACGCGACCGCCTTACGCCCAACCGCCCGCGTCGCCTAGTCCTTACGGTACTAGGGCGCGCCGCCTCAATGCGCGCGTACAGCGGCGCCCAACGTGCTGCCCACGCCAACGTTGCCTGCGCCGCCCCTTCGCGCGTGGTCACCCGTCAGTCCGCACTCCTCGAGGACTGCGGCATCGCGCCCCGCGCGTCCTTTCCCATCGGCCGTGTTGCGCACGCCTTTGGCCCCGGCTGCTTCCCCGCGCGCGTGCTGCCCCGGTGATGAGGATCGTGTTTTTCGACTGCTGATAAGCCGCTATCCCGCGCCTTGAATCGCCGATAGTGTTCTTCGAGCCACAACCGCGCCTCTTGGAACGAATAAAATTGCAATAGTATTCTGGTGAAAAGACTAAAGCAAAGTTGGAAGAACAAAGTTCTAGACTTCTATTGTTTTCTTGGATGATGAAAAATAACATAGGGTAAGAGCCTTTATATAGGCACAAAATTATATCTAAGCCTAATCTACCTAGGGATCAAATAAAGCAATAAAATATTAAGTATCCAGAACAATCTAGATCTCTTAATGTAAGATGAAGACAACTTGACTTGCACTCCACTCAAACTATCTCGCACGCGGACGCCTCGTCCAACCGCCTTACTTGTGTGCCGTCTTACCGCGCGCTGTCCCTGCCCACGCCCTAGTCCTTGAGGACTAAGGCACCGCCTTCCGCGCGTGCCTTGCCACCAGGCATGGTCAGCACTCCAGCGCCTCGCGCGCCTGCCCCAGCGCGTGACCTGCCGCCAGTCCGCATTCCCCAAGGAGTGGGGCTTCGCGCCCCGCGCGTACTCGTGCATCACCCGCGTTCCTCGCGTGCTGCTTCGCTGCACTCAACGTGCGCGTGTCCTCGCTAGCCGCCTGTGTTCCGCTTGCGTGTGCCAACCGTGCGTACCCGCTGGCCAGGCCCTGCTTGCTCATTGTGCATGTGCGATCGTTCTCGCCCATTACCAAGCCCTTTTCGCACCCCTTGCGTGCACTATGCTCAAGTGCGCGCATTTCTGCCGTTACTCGTGCTTGTCTCTTGCGTGCGTGATAGGCTCGGCTTGCCGCGTTCTTGAGCTGTCTAGCCACTTCCGCATCATTCCCGTCCCCTTCAAGTGATTCCTTGTCCTCAAGGATGAAGTTCGGGAACTGGTCTCGCATCTCTTCAAGATCTTCCCACGTGGCTTCTTCAGATGGCAATTCCTCCCAGTCAACTAGTACTTCCCATCGGTAGCGCTCTGCTCTCTTTACCTTACGGTACTCAATCACTCGTTTTGGTTGAACTATGGCCCTACCATCGGTTGTGGTTGCATGTAACTCCACACAATACTTCTGCGCTTCTCCCAAGCTTCTCTTGAGTTGTGAGACATGGATAACTGGGTGAATTTGCAAACTTTCGGGTAACTCTAGGCGATATGCTACCTGTCCGATGCGCTTCAGAATCTGATAAGGCCCATAGTAGCGTACCACTAATTTAGTGGCGGCTCTTTGTGCTGTTGTGCGCTGTCTGAATGGTCGTAGCTTTAGGTCGACATATTCACCTGGTACAAAATTTTCCTCACGCCTTTTTCCATCTGCGAAGGCTTTGGTTCGGTTAATTGAGCCTTCGAGATTTCTCTTCAGCTCACGTAACATCAAATCTCGTTCCTCTAGTTCTCGACCAACCTCATCGTTGACCGTACTCCCCTCCGAATAATTGATCAACGTTGGAGGTTTTCGCCCGTATACCAACTCAAATGGCGTCATCTTGGTCGACTCGTGGTAAATGGTGTTGTACCAATACTCAGCCCAAGGCAAAAAGTTTTCCCACCGCTTTGGGAATTGATGGACGTAGCATCTCAAATACTGCTCAAGGGTTCGGTTGGTTACCTCAGTTTGCCCGTCTGTCTGTGGGTGGTAGGCTGAGCTCATAGATAACTTAGTTCCTTGCAACTTGAAGAATTCAGACCAAAAGCTGCTCATAAAAATCCGGTCTCGATTAGAGACGATGGATCGAGGTGCCCCATGCAATTTCATCACGTACTCCACAAACAACCTGGCAATTGACTTCGCGGTGTAAGGATGGGTAATGGGTATGAAGTGAGCATACTTCGTGAGACGATCCACCACAACCATAACACTGTCAAACCCATTAGAATTCGGCAACCCCTCGATGAAATCCATAGTAATGTCCTCCCAGATTGCCTCGGGTACTGGTAGAGGTTGCAATAGCCCACTCGGTCGTCGTGCGTCAGATTTAGTGCGCTGGCAGTCATCGCACCGTGCTGTGTAGTCTCGAACGGTACTTTGTTGTCCCGACCAGAAGAAAGTGTTGGCTATCCTCATCCACGTGCGATAGATACCCGAGTGGTAAGGGCCTTTATATAGGCATAAAATTATATCTAAGCCTAATCTACCTAGGGATCAAATAAAGCAATAAAATATTAAGTATCCTAAACAATCTAGATCTCTTAATGTAAGATGGAGACAACTTGACTTGCACTCCACTCAAACTCTCTCGCACGCGGACGCCTCGTCCAACCGCCTTATTTGCGTGCCGTCTTACCGCGCGCTGTCCCTGCCCACGCCCTAGTCCTTGAGGACTAGGGCACCGCCTTCCGTGCGTGCCTTGCCACCAGGCGTGGTCAGCACTCCAGCGCCTCGCGTGCCTGCCCCCAGCGCGTGACCTGCCGCCAGTCCGCATTCCTCAAGGAATGGGGTTTCGCGCCCCGCGCGTACTCGTGCATCGCCCGCGTTCCTCGCGTGCTGCTTCGCTGCGCTCAACGTGCGCGCGTCCTCGCCAGCCGCCTGTGTTCCGCTTGCGTGTGCCAACCGCGCGTACCCGCTGGCCAGGCCCTGCTCGCTCATCGTGCATGTGCGATCGTTCTTGCCCATTACCAAGCCCTTTTCGCACCCCTTGCGCGCACTATGCTCAAGTGCGCGCATTTCTTCCGTTACTCGTGCTTGTCTCTTGCGTGCGTGATAGGCTCGGCTTGCCGCGTTCTTAAGCTGCCTAGCCACTTCCGCATCACCCGCCTTTCCGCATGCCTCGAGGCATGTGGCCTCGTCCGCTGCGCGTGCCTCCCCCGTGCCCGACCTTTCCGCACGCGCGCCCATCAACCCCGCGCTACGCACGTCCTGCCCACCTACGCCACGCATGCAAGCCGTGCACACCGCCCGCACATCCGCGTGCAGCCTATCTTCGCCCGTCTCGCGCGCACTACGCTCTAGTGCGCGCACTTCTACCATCGCCCGTGCATGCCTCTTGCGCGCATGGTAAGCTCGACTTGCGGTGTTCTTGAGCTGCCTAGCCACTTCCGCATCACGCTGGCCTACGCGCTGGCAGCAGCGCACCAGGCCCGGCAGACAGGCAGTAATCCAAATGGACCCGATCATTTTTCAAATTCACTCGACCGATTGACTTTAAATTTTTACACATAGAAATAGACTCAGAAAGACACGTTTTCACCAAGTTTTATACTCAAGACCTCAGTTTAACCTGAGCAACCAATTTTACGAAAAAACGATGCAAATATGAGTTTACAAGTTCTCAGGGCAATCCTTGGAATTTTTAAATAAAATTTGGACACAAGACACATAACACTAGAATAATGTCACTCACCAAAAATCACATCAAAATACCGAGGATACAAATATTAATGATTTTTTGAAGTTTCTGTCCAGAATTTCAAATTGACATTTGACCTAGCTACAGATATTATTTCGACCTGAAACTTTTACACCACATAACATACCAAAATAAGGTCATACAATTTAAATTTCACAGCAATCGGACGAACACACGATTTATGATGATTTTTATAAAAATCAGCAGCAACTCCCGATTCAAAAATACATATATGACCAAATACTCAACAAAAACATCTAAGGCCTTCACCATGAGACGAAAGACTCATAAATGTTCCATAGTCCACATCCCTAACACGATATTAATGAGGGTTCATCAAACATGCATAACAATGTGGTTCGGAGGCTTATTTCCTCGAAAACAATAGAGCTCTAGATGACCGAGCACCCTTACTTATTTTAAGAAATTGTTTTAACCCCATATTACTCATGATTTATAAGGATTTTTAAGCTCAAGAACTCAGCCTAAACATGCATGCAACGAAAAGTCCGATTTTAAGGCTTTATGCTTTAAAAATCCGAAACTCATATTCTACCCGAGCAAAACATGATTTCTCTACATGATAAATCTTAAAATATCATGTTATAGCTAGGATAAAAAGATAGCATGAGCTAACTTTCACCGAAGTCGAAAATGAGACTCAAGCCCTTAACTCGGGTCTCCTCGGGTCGCTATACGCCGTGGCTTGACTTGGTGGCCTATAAGCTGAAGATGGTGGCTTCTCTAAGCTCCTTATACTCCCAGAGATGATATGAACTCGGCTTGGTGCAGCAAAACTTGGCTAGCACAAGAGATGGCTCGGTGCTCCTCTTTATCGGGCCTAGGCGCATGCATGCAAGGCTCTCGGCTATCTCTCTCTATATGGCTGAGTTTGGGTGAAATTTTTTAAGTATCCAAGAGTTTTTACTTGCTGAAGAATGAGGTTAAATGGAGTCTTGGGCGGATTTCACTAGGTAGCTCATGGGAGACACATTTTAAGTGCTCTTTTCCCACTTCATGTGCACCTAGGGACTCGGGGCTGCATTGGGGATGACTTGGGTGGAATTTGAGGAGGTTTTCAGAGCATCTTGGAAGAGGATAAAGGCTCTGGTCGGACACAAGGTGAATGGGGGACATAAACTTACACATGTGCATTAAAATAATGCATGCACATGCACCCACTTTGGCTAAGGACAAAATGACTTTGACTTGGATTACCCTAGGGTCAATTGGGCTCAAAAGACTCCTCAATAAGTT